GGGCAGGGCGTATCTGTTGGGAGGGGTAGCTTCTGACACTGATGGTCAGACTCCTGGCCCTGAGACCTGTGACATGAGAACTCTCAAAGGGACCGGCTTCCCAGGAGATGGGGAGGTCCTTGCCTATGGAGGCGTCTGAGCCTTTTGGGAGAAATGAAGCTGGCGGGGGAGGGAATGTCCCTGCAAATCTCTGGGAGATGTTGGGACCACACATTACCGATGGGGCTTTTCTATTTGATGTTTTTTCTGTTTCCAGAAACCCCAACGGGGAGGGGCTGCCCCATTGGCCCATGTATGACCAGAAGGAAGGGTACCTGCAGATTGGGGTCCCCACCCAGGCAGCCCAGAAGCTGAAAGATGAGGAAGTGGCGTTCTTCACCGAGCTCCTTGCCCAGGACACAGCCAGGACGTCACCCCAAACAGAGCATATTGAGCTGTGAAGGGGAGGCCCATCCAGCCTCCACGATCTGGGGGAGCTTAGAGGTAATTCTACAGAAGGTGTTTATGGCCAAAAAGGTACCTTAGTGTCTGGTGGGAGTGGACAGAGACCACGGAAGGGGGAGCATCTACACCTGTAGCCTTAATTTTGGAAATAATGTTCTTTCGGTGACCAAGTCAGTGTCTGTGTCTTGGGTTGGAGTCTACCCCATCCTCCTGGTGGATGGTTGGCACAGTCACACTATCACTCATCAGGGGCTTCTCTGCTCTGCTCCATGGAGAAAGCCCTCGGGCAGAGTCACAGGTTCCCATAGAGAGAAGCCAGCAGGGTGTGTGTGTGTGTGGAGGGGGGAATGGGCAGTGAGCACAGAGGGGACATGAGCCAAGCATTGGCAGTGTCTCCTACCGAACTCAAGCTAGAAGAGCAGCAAGGTGGCCACTTGACCACCTCTACATGTGGACACAGGGAGGCCCAGAGAGGGCAAGAAACTGGCTCCCAGTCACCCAGAGTCATTGTCTCAACTACTGGAGCCGAACTGAGGCCTCCTTCCCCTAAGATGGGGTTCTTTCTTCAGTATTTCCTGGCCATCCCCAGATGGACCCCCTCCGTGGGGGAAGGGTACTGTCTTCTTGACCACACTCTACCACCTGTCCCTCTGCACCTGCCTACAGATGCTTTCCACGCTCCCCAAGCTCTAGGGTATGAAACCATTTCTTTCAGACATACATTGCCCCTCATTCTGAGAGCCGGGAGAGGCCCAAGGCTTTGAGTAGAGGCATGGAGAGGGGATGCCCTTCGAGGACCCTCCATCTAGTTGTAGCCATCACACACAGCCCCAGTGACAGATCAAACCTGTTCACTGCCCACGTCTCCTCTCCGTCTTCTGACAAGCCAGGAGCAGGGAGGTGGTTATTTTGTTAGTCCTCACCTGAGGATATTTTTCAATTGATTTTTTTTGAGAGAATTTAAGGGAGAGGGAGAGAGAGAAAAACATCGATGTGAAAGTGACACATCGATTGGTTGCCTCCCACACCTGCCCTCACCAGGGCCGGGGATCAAGCCTGTAACAGAGGTACGTGCCCTTGACGGGAATCAAACCCGGGACCCTCAGTCCATGGGCCCATGCTCTATCCACGGAGCCAAACTGCCTAGGGCAGGGAGGGTGGTTATCTTCATGAGATGGGGCTCAGTGGGAGGAATGCCCTCCCCAAGGTCACACAGCTGACACTGCTGGTACCCGCAGGAACTGGAGTCTGTTTTCAGATCCTGGTGGCTGTAGCAATTCAGTCCTTGTGGCTGCCAGCTCACCTGTGCTCACCTGTACACTGGCACCAGGAATGGGAAGGAAGGTATGTTAGCCAGTGACCAGAAGCTTGGCTGTTCGACCATGGGCTTCTCAGGGTCAGGATCAAGGTCAGATTCACTTTCCTGGTCCCCCAGCATGTGATTGGCAGTGGGACTAAATGGATGGACTGATAGATGGCTGGTCGGTGGCTTGTCACAAGGTGGAGGTGATGGCAGCCTTCGGTAATCTGGCGATTATACCTTTGAATGCTGTAATAATATAGTAACTGAGATTGTGTCTTCATAATAAATTTTCATATTAATTCAAAGAATCTTCACAGTGACCCGAGGCCCAAGAAAATTCAACTAGTAAGTGACAGATAAGACCAGCTACATAATTTGTTGTGCAAAAATAAAACCAGGAAAAAAACACCCTTATTGTAAAAAATATTAAGATGGCGACAAGCAATGGAGGAGCCCATCTGAGCGAGAGGGTCCCTGTGTGACTGCTGGGTGTCACGCCTGTGAAGCTGGGGCCCAGGAGACAGAGCTGGGATATGAACCTGGGCAGTCTGGCTCCAGAGCCTGAGTCCTTAAGTGCGAAGCTATCCTTTCTTCCCACACTGGGCATGGGTTAAAAATCCTTATCTGGGCTTGTCTCTGAAGTCAAGGCCAGAGGCACCCATGTCGCTGAAGGTGATTCTCTGCTGCCCTCTTGTGTTCAGCATTCATATAGCTACACCTGCTTCAGGGGTAGAGCCAGGACTGCAACCCCAGACCAAGACTCCCAGCAAAGTGCCCAGATAGCAGTGACTGCCTGTTAGGGCTAGGGCTGGGGTTAGAGTTAGGGCTAGGGTGAGGGCACAAAGGTAGGGTTAGGGCTAGTGCTAGGGTTAGGGTTGTATTTAATGTTAGGGCTAGGGCTAGTGTTTCAGTTAGATTTGTGTGTTAGGGTCATGGGTCAGAGAGTAAAGCTCATAGATCAAAGTTCAGAAGTCAAAGGTCAAATTTCAAGGTGAGTGTAAACATTAAAGGTATAAGGTCAGCGGTCATTGGTCAAAGGCTCAATGTCAAAGGGTCAGAAGTAAAAGGTTGGGGTCAAAGGTCACGGGTTGATGGAAATGGGTCAAAGGTCAGAGTTTAGAGGTCAATGGTTAAGGTCAGAAGTAAAAGGCTAGGGTTAGGGTTATGGTTTAGTTTTTAGGTCTAGGGCTCCAGCTTGGGCTAGGGCTCAGGCTAGGTTTAGGGTTTAGTGGTTTGGGGTAGGGTTAGGGCTAGGTTTTCGGTTTGGTTTGTGTGGAGTCAAAGGTCAAGGGTTGGAGGTCAGCGGTCAAAGATAAAGTGTCAGAAATCTATGTAAATGGGTCGGGTGTCAGAGGTAAAAGGTCAAGTCAAGTGCCTAAAAGGTCAGAGGTCAAAGGTCAAGTATCAGGCCAAGTGGGCAAAAGGTTATTGTTTAAAGGTCAAGGGTCAGAGGACAAGAGCCAATGGTCAGAGGTCAAAAGGACGAGAGCCAAATGTCAAAGGTCAGTTGTCAAGGGTCAAAGGTCAAAGGTTCATGAGAAATATTGGCCTGTAATTCTCTTTCTTTGTGGTGTCTTTATCTGGTTTTGGGATTAGGGTGATGCTGGCTTCGTAGAAAGAGCTTGGAAGTGCTCCTCCTTCTTAAATTTTTTGGAATAGTCTGAGGAGGATAGGTTTCATTTCTTCTTTGAATGTTTGGTAAAACTCCCCTGTGAAGCCGTCTGGTCCAGGGCTTTTGTTTGTTGGAAGAGTTTTGATTACTGCTTCAATTCCTCCATAGTTATCGGCCTAATTCAGATTTTTTTTATTCCTCCTGGTTGAGTTTTGGAAGGTTGTATTTTTTTAGGAATATGTCCATTTCTTCTAGGTTGACCAGTTTGTTGGAGTAAAGTTGCTCATAGTATTTTTTTTTATGATTTTTTGTATTTCTGTGGGGTCTATTGTTACTTCACCTCTTTTGTTTCTGATTTTGTTAATTTGGGTCTTCTCTCTTTGCTTCTTGGTGAGTCTGGCTAGAGGTTCATCAATCTTGTTTATCCTTTCAAAGAACCAGCTCTTGGCTTCATTGATCTTTTGGTTTTTTGTTGCTGTTTTTTGGTCTCTATGTCACTTATTATTTCCTTCCTCCTGCTCACTCTGGGCTTTTCTTGTTGCTCTCTTTCTAATTCTTCAAGTTGCCCAGCCTTGTTCAAAGGAGGGTTGGGGGCACCCCAGTCTCACAGCCAAGGATCCCCAGGACTGAGACCCGAGGAACATCAGTCAGCACCTTGGACGAGGCGAACACACCCAGCTGGCCTTTAATTAGCAAACACGTGGGCTTCTCTGCTATGAATCGCAGAGGCTTGTCTCTGACCAGCCCCCAACTGGTACAGAAGAGCCTCTGGTCATAGTGGCCCACCTTTCACCTAAATAACTTCTTATAGCCCTTGGAGCGAGAGACTGAAGGGGTTTAGATCTCTCCTCCTAGCTCTGAGATGGACACATTTATATTTAAATGGAAAGTGCAGACCAAGTGACACCAGGTTAGTTATCTAGTTTTGCTTTTTCCGTTTCTAGGGCTGAATTTTTCTTTTAAAAACATCAATTTTTCTCTCTCTTCCTCTAAAAATCAATTTTAAAAATCTTTTTTTAAAAGAAAAATTCAGCAATTCATAGCATTTTACACTCATGGCAGAAAGAATGCCACTAGCAGATCCATGGCACGGGAATATCCTTTATTATCTATACAGTTGTTTTTCCATGAAGAGAACAGCTTGTGAAATAAACCCACACCAGACATAGAAATCTGCATGACGTCGGAACCGTCCATGACACAGAGAGGGCACCACTGAGACTGTCCTTATTTACACGGAAGTGGAGAAACAGAGGGGCGAGGGCGGGCACCCCAAGAGCACGTTCAAGGGCACCCGTAGTTTGGTCACGTCTCGATTGTGGCCATAGCCACAGACCTGTGGATCCCGGGACTCACAAGGTCACGGCCACGGGTTTCCTTCAAAGTCCTCAAAACAAAAGGGTTGGATTTTATTTTTCAAATACCAAGTGTTTCTGGCATCAGGCGAAGAAATATGGGAGAAAGTGCTGAATGTCTAAAAAAAAGCAAACAAAATTCTGGAGGCCAGATGTCTGACCTTTCTCTGCTCCATAGGTTATTAAGTCACCAGATCATCCGGAAAGTTCTATCGTAAGCGACGGGCTTTCTTCGTTGTAAATTGAGCACAAGAACATTGTCAGGGAGGCATGAAACTTTCTACACTGGATGGGACCTTTGATTATCTGATCCAAACCTGCTTTTATGGGCAAAGAACTTAAAATGCACCCCCTCTCCCAGGAACCCAGCTGGTCAGCTGCAACTCTAAATGCTGTGCCGTTTCCGCCGCCCCACACTCCCTCTCTGTTCTTCTCCATCCCAGGGCTTTCAAAGGAAATAAACAAATGAAATGAGCTCGGGGGGCCTCTTGGCTAAGAAATGACTTCTTTGGTAAGAATGCTTCAGCCTCGCGTTACCAGGGCTGCAAAATGGATCCTCCCGCCCGGGCAGGAACCCCCTCTGAGAATTAAGGCAGCTTTGGGGATGTCTATCCAGCAGGATATTTGGCACGAGTGGGCCACTCCCGTCTCCTCGGCATCTGGAACGAAGGCCAGCTGACAGGTGGACGCCAAGTATCTGGACGTTGTAAGGAGATGTTACCACGATGCTCTTAAACAGATATTGTACATTTCGTGGAAAATAATTCTTTAAACGTCTTGTAAAGTATCAAGTGTCATGTACAATAACACAGGAGCACCCTTATCCCGGGTAACCTCTGCTATCAAAAAAAAGGGGGGGGCGTGAAGAAGAAATCGAGCCTTACTTATGAGAAAGCACGTCACGCGGGGGTGTAGGATGAACCGAGGTCTCCCCACGCCTCCCCGAGAACTTCCAAGGGCCTCCAGGTGCCTCTGCTGCCCCACCCCAGGCTGGGGAGCCAGCTTCCGCCGCGAGGCAGCACCGTGGCGTTGGTTTGGCGTTGGTTAAGCTAGCACCGCATCACCCATTCGCCTGGGGGACACGTCTGGAGGCAGAGGGGCCACAGGCAGAGGCGGCGGAAAAGCTGCAGGCGCTCTCCCTCCGGGCACCCTGTTCGGACACGCGGCTTCCCTGACCCTTCATTTCAGCCAAGCAGACTCCGCTCTCACACCCACTGCCCCAGAGCCGCTCTTGTCACCAAAAGACAGCAGCCACGTCGTCCCTTCCTCCCCGGCCACCCGCTCGAGGGGAAGAAATGACATCGCTCCCCTCCTCCCTTCTCCCAACACCCTGTCCTTTGCTCAGAAACCCTCCTCGGCCCCCCGACCGCATTTCTGTCCGCCTGTGAGGACAGCCCAGGGTGGGTGAGCCCCACGGGGCAGGGAATGTCCAAGGGCCCTGGGCTGAGGGGCAGGGCATCTGACTCGCGGGTCCGCCTTCGTAGCTGAGAATCTGAAACGCCGGGCCTCGGTTTTCTCACCTGGGAAATGGGGAGACAGAAGCCAGCCCTGCAGTCCTCGTGGGGCGGATGGGAGGCGATGTGGGTGAAAGTGTGTTTGTAAAAATCACTGTAACAACCAGGGAGCAATGGCCCTTCCTGGGGGGATTTGAAGTCACTCGTGGCCCCGTCAGTGACAGGCCACCCTGCTCTCGTCCCCCAGGCCCCCACCTACTGTCCACTCCGCTGGATGCTCCCAGCCTCCCCCCACCTCCCCCGCCATTGGGCTGCCTCTGACACTGAGCTGGAGTTTCTATACGGAAAGATCAAAAGTCTCCTGACTTCCCTCTGGTCTCTAAAGCAGGGGTGGGGAGCCTCCGGCCCACTGGCCATGTCATTTGGTCTGGCCCTGCCAAGGCAACCTCAGGCGGGACTACATCTGGGAACTTTTTCACTGCAACATCATGTTTAAGCTGGTAATGTTGCGTGGCCCACGGATGATGTAAATATCCAAATGGCCCTTGGCAGAAAAAGGCCCCCTCCCCCCCCCCCAAAAAACCCCCCCAAAGAATGTCCCAACGACCCTGGCTCTGCGGAAAACCATCTCCCTGCCCCCAGCTGGCTCCCAGAGAACCTTCTTCCACAGTCAGCGAGATCGGGCTCCGCGACACCCTCCCTAGGTTTGTGAAGTAAAGTGGCCTCTTTTCTCTCCCCAAGACTCTGCCACAGGGACTCCCAGCGTCAGAGTAACAACCCGCAAGTCTAGAGTTCCAACACGGGTGCAAGAGACTCAGACCAGAAACAGGAGCCCCACATCAGTGCGGCCAATGGAACCCATCATTTCTCCCAATGAGCTGGAACTGACCACCCCCGCCACCAGAGGGCGCCACTTGCAGGTCGCTATGGAAGCCAACCTGGAAATTCCTACCTGCTCCACCCACCCAGAATCCGGTTCCCTTAACCAGGTAGCTGTGTGTCCGGGCCCACCCTGCCCTCCATGTACCAAGTGTTGTCCATAGTGAGAGACAAAGGGAGTTTTCAGGGACCACCCCCCATCTGTCGAGATCCCTGGTCCACGCTGGGTGGGGTTTCCAGGGAACAATACATCAACAGACACCCCTGGGCACCACCTGGCCTGGGAGGACAACAGAGGGTCCGTAGCAGGGACACCTGTCTGGCCTCACTGGGTTCCTGACCCAAGTCTCCCCAAGGTCTCAGGAGTCCCAGGTGGGTTTCCGGGCCCCCTGTGCCCAGCAGAGCGAGGCCTCGTGTGGCCTCTAGGGGGCCTGCCTGGCACCTCTGTGGAGGCTGCTCACTGGGGCTCATCTGTGTTCTTCCCGTGACAGCCGTGGCTCTGGACCAGCTGACGGCGAGGGGCCGGAAGGATGTTCCAGATGGCACCTGTCAGACCCAGATTAGCCAGAGTGAAAACCCATGGTGAGGTTTCTGTCTGAGGTCCCCAAAGCATCTCTCCATGGACCTTCATGACGGGACAGACACACGCAAGCTCCCTGACCGCGGGTCAGACACCAGAGCACGGCTGGGGTGGGGGTGGGGGGAGCAGGAGACGGAGGGTCTGTGTGGCCACCCCTAAGGCAGCAGGTGTCTTGGTCGGGTTTGGGGGGTGGTGGCTGACACCCCCAACTGGGTGGACCGAGGTTTCTTCTTGGCCCAAAGGACAAGCAGACGTGGTGGGGGATTCGGCCCGAGCCGTGGGCTCCGCTGGGGCCGGCTGGCTCTCTGATTGAGTGCGACGTCCCCCCAACCAAAGGGGTTCCACAGAAGTCGTCGTTCCTGCTCCCACCTCTCCTCTCCTCCCCGAGGCTCACCAGTCCACGTTCACAGCCCCCGGGCCCAACGAACAGAAGGCAAAGGAAAACCAGGTCACGAAATCATGGGGCATGGGGACGGGAGGAAGGGGGGCGGGGGAGCATCTGCCGGGAGAGGGATCCCGGACAGCGGACAGCGTCTGGGTGGCGGCGAAGTGGGCGCCTGGACCTGGACGTTGGCCAGCCAGTGCTGCAGCTGCGGAAAGACCGGGCCTCAGTGTCTGTCCGGGGCGGGCGGGGGTGGGGGGAGCACCCAGGGCCAGTTGGGGAGCAGCACAGGGGAAGCAGGAACCACCCCTTCCCTCCAGGACCCCGAGGACATGCAGGCCGATCCCCTCATGGCCACCAACACCCCGAAAGGGCGAAGGCACCGTCCCCAAGTCACACAGCCTGTCTGCAGCAGGGAGCTCACCGGGACCCTCCCCAGCCCCTGGCAGGCACGTTTCTGAGGGGGAAAAGGTAGGACTCAGGTCACCCCGTCACTGATGTGCTCACAGCGCTTCCTTCAACATAAGACGCCCTCAGCTAGCTTGGTGACTCTCCTGGGGGACAACTCAGTGCAGACAGAGCTCAGCAGAGCTGTGGCCGGTGCAGGCCAGGACCCAGATGCAGAGGCCAGCGGGAGCCGGCAGGGGCAGGGGACAGCCCCACCCGACCGAACGCCAGACCCCCGGGAGCCATGGCCCGCTGCTGCTGCTGCGCGACTCTGGCGTGGGCGTGGGGTCCTGCCCAGGGCAACTAGCACACAGCGGCCCCACCACCAGAGGTCCGGCTCACCCACCTGGAACTGCCTGACGTCCCTCTGGGCCACCAGGTGATGCTCGTTCTCCGGCGTGAGGCCATAGGCCAGTCTCTGGGAGAGGTTGGAGAAGGGGTGGCCTCAGCTAGGCCCAGGGCACCCTCCCCGGGGCCCAGCGTCCCCCCTTTCACCTCCAGATAAAGGCCACCTGCTACTTGGCCCTAAAGTCCCACAGGAACGGTGGCCGGGAACACGCGTAGAATGTCAGCCCTGTGCCGGGCCCTGTGCTAAGCACTCTCTCTTCCTTCAAGATCCGTATTACTGTCCCCAGGTTGCCAGTGTGGAAATGGAGGTTCAAGGAGATACACAACTGGCCAGCGTGGGGGGTCCATCTGACCCTAGTCTCCCCTCTCACCCCCACAGGAATGACTCCATGCCCCTCCTATGCTGTCCCCCGCCCCCCCCCCCCCGCCCCTCGGGCCCCAGCTCACCTCCCAGAGGGAGCCCCGGGTGCTCAGGAACTTGTAGATGATGTAGGCGGGCACCAGGACCATGGAGGACAGTGCGACGCCCCACCCGACCCAGTTGGCCCAGAGTGGGAAGATGTAGTCATCGTAGGTGAGTGGCTTGAAGTTGATGATGCTCACCACCACCACAAACTGGAGGGGGTGGGGGGCGAGCAGGAGAGAGAGAGGGAGGGGAGGAGTGGAGAAATGGGAGGGAGGAGTGTGAGAAAGAAAGGTGACCTTGAAGCTGGGCCAGGCTGGGCACACAGCCACCAGGGCCCTGGCCCAGGCTGGAGACCCGCGGGGGTGGGCGTCCCCATGGTGTCAGCGGCCTGAGCGTCCCCATGTCCTGCCCGCGGAGCAGGGCTCTGTATCCCAGAACCGCCTCCCCCAAGAACCCAGGATGCCCCCCACCCCCACCCCACCCCCACACAGCACCCTCGCCCAGGACGCGTGCCCCCCCCCCCACTACGTACCAGGAGGAAGGCGGGGCTCACAAACTTCCAGCACAGCCTCCAGTACAGGCCAGGCTTGAACCCCATCATCTGCTGGATGTCGTTGCTGAACCTGTCCACCCCTGTGCACACACGGGCAGGCCTGTCACCCCGGCCACCCCTGCTGCCCACCCCCAGGGACCCGCCCCCGGGCAGCGAGGCCACCCCTGGCACTTACTCCTGGGGACGAGCGCCCTGCTGGCCAGAACAAGGGAGAGGACACCCTCACGGAGTGTCACCCACGTGCCCCCCGATTCATTTTTCAGAGGGAGACGGGGCCCCGGGAGGGGCCGGCACATGCCCCAGGCCACACCCCAGGTCAGCCTGACTGAAGCCTGGGCTTCCCCTCTTGTGCACGCTCTTAAACACGAGACTTCCCTGAGTTCAGTCTGGTGGAGGGGCCCAGGTTCACACCGAAATCTCTCTCCGACTCGTAGGAAAGACTGCAAGCAGGACTAACCCTGGGATGGGCCACGCGGGGAAGGAACGGTGCCAACACGTGGGCACTTGGTAACGCCTCTCACCGTCCCCGGCAGAGCCGGGCGCCAACTGCAGCCCAGGCCCCGCTCCGTCTGAATCTCAGACGGTGGACACGGCCTCGGCTGACGGACGACCTGTGCAATGTCTAGGCCAGTGATGGCGGACCTATGACACATGTGTCAGAGGTGACACTCGAACTCATTTTTTTGGTTGATTTTTCTTTGTTAAATGGCATTTAAATATATAAAATAAATATCAAAAATAGAAGTCTTTGTTTTACTATGGTTGCAAATATCAAAAAATTTCTATATGTGACACGGCACCAGAGTTAAGTTAGGGTTTTTCAAAATGCTGACACGCCGAGCTCAAAGGTTCGCCATCACTGGCCTAGGACATACACTGGCACAATCACACAGCGTTGATCTGAAACTCAAGTCGAACTGGGCCCCTTGCCTTCAGTTTGCTGGATCTGACAGCCCTGCTCTAGAATGAGTTACCTGTGGAGCAGCCGCTTCCTCCAATTCCCCTTGACTTTTTATTTATTTTTAAATATTTTTTATTGATTTTTTTTTGTGTGTGTGTGAGAGTGAAACATCAATCGGCTGCCCTGCACGCCCCCTCCCAGAGATAGAGCCACCAACCCGGGCATGTGCCCTGGCCGGGAACGGAACAGTGACCTCTCAGAGCATGGATGAGGCTCAGCCAGCGGAGCCACACCCCTCCCTGGAGCTCCTCTTTCAAAGTGGACACTGGATGCCTTCGGGCCTTTGCAGCACCTGCTGAAGGGGGTTCATGCAAAGATGAGCCACCGGCCAGGGGCCGCCATGGCAACGGAAGGCCCTCTGCGCCCGGGCGAGAAGTCTGCAGGAACGCGGGGCCCAGCACGCACCGTAAAACCAGGAGACGCCGATGGCCTCCATGAGCACAGCGAACAGAATGGAGGTGCCCGCCGCGAACGTGTCCAGCAGCGTCAGCACGTAGATTCCGCCCTGGGCAGGGAGGGAGGACGCCTGAGGCCACGGCTGGCAATGGCCACCGACAGTTACGTCCATCACCACACACCCGTCCCCGGCCCCTGCCTCTCTTGCTCAGAGCCCCGTGTGAGGACGCGGGGGACAGGGCTGGGTGCTACTGTACTGATGTTACGTATCTGCGTCCCGACAAAGGCCCTCGGAGTCACGGGCCTGAGGGTGGGTATTTCAGCCAGAAAAAGCGAGGTGGGTGTCAAGGGACTTTTGCTGCTCTCACACCAGGGGTGCCTGGAGGTCCTCGGGCTCAGAGGTGGGAGACGACAGAGGGGGGTGTCACCCTAGGGGTCGGGCCATGGGGTTGAGGGTGCCTGGCCCCGCCCTGAGCTCACCTGGCCCCACCCATGGGGCTGGAAATGTCTGACCGCAGGACCCGAGCTCCAGGCGACCCAGCGCAGCCCCGCTCACCTTGGTTATGCAAAACAGGGCCAGGAGGAAGGTCCCGAAGGTGACGCCGAATGTGAAGAGCTTCCGGTGTCGCTTCAGGACATGGAAGTCGTCGGCCAGGCCCGTGATGACGGCCTCCATGCCTCCCATCTGCAGGGAGCCCGGCAGGGTGGGCGCAGGAAGGAGGGGCGCCCTGGGGCCTCCTGGGGTCTCCCACCGACTGCCTGGCCGCTCTGGGGAAATCGGCAGGCACTGCCCTCTCCCCAGCCTCTCACCCACTCTGCCCCCTTCCAACCAAACTCAGGACTCAGACACGACGGGGGGCGGGTGCAGAGTTAGCGCCGTCTCCCCTAATCGACGGCCCCTGTCTCCTGCCCCTCGCTCAGCCCCGGGGGTTCTGATGAGCCCACAGGAGCGTGAACGAAGTAAAATGCCCAACCCCCAGGCAAGGTATCTGCACGCCAACGGGGTCTCCTGGAGGAGACGGCCCCCAGCGGGGAGCCCCCAGAGCTGGGACTTCAGGCAGAGCTTCCGCCGGGGGTTCTGGCCACCGAGTGGTCACCTCAGCTCCACCCTCAGCGAGAAGGCGTCTCCTAGCCCACAGCTATAGGCACATGTATTCTATGGCCTCTGAGGAGGGCAGGCGGTCTCATCCGACAGGTGCGTAAAACAAAGGCTCTGAGCCGCGAAGGAGGCCCCATGTGCCTGTGCCGGCTGCTGGTGACAGAACAGTCACAGGAGGAGCCTGGCTGAGAGGAGGCGACCTGCTCCGCCTGGATTCAGGGTCCTGTCTGCATGGAGGGGGCGGGGGGGGCGCGGTTGGGCTGGTCCATCGGTGGTCACTGATTCCCAGGATGCAATAATTTTCTATTTGTTATTGGCTTTGGCCTATGTACATCTTGCCTTTCTGAGTGAGGGCTCACTTCCTTGTTTGCATTTAAATAGGGCCTCTGGGATGGACTGCTAATTAGGAGATTGAATGGGGGGACTTCAGACTGAGTACTGTGTGTGTGTGTGTGTGTGCTGGGGGCGGGTCCTGAGCAGGGTCACTCACTGAGCTGTCAATCCCCAGAGCCAGGAGCATGATGAAGAACACGACAGCCCAGAAGGTGGACCCCGACAGGGTGGAGATGGCTTCCGGGTACAGGATGAAGACCAGGCCAGCTCCTGCAAGAAACACCCAGGCCTCAGCACTGCTGGGAAGGAGGGTCTGAGCTGCAGGTGGGCGGAGAGCGTTCGAAGGCCCCGTGGGCCCCAGGCCAGCCCGTGGCACCTGGTCCGTCCTGTGTGAGATGACAGACGAGGTCAGCCCCGGCCTGCAGTTCACCAGGCACCAGGGAGGCAGGCCCCCGGCAGCCAGACCAGAGGGCAGCGCCTCGCACCCTCCTCCTGCCTGCCCTGAGCGAGCCTCTTACTTCACAAGCTCCTCAGGGACCACTAGAGGCAGCGCCTCCCCAAGCCTCAGCTTCACTGTGGCCACGAGAATATGGGAAACAGGAGGAAAGGACACAGGCCCTTGGGTTGGCCTGGTCAGCTGGGTGACCTGGGGCAACTTAGCCTGAGTCTCAGCTTTCTCATCTCTAAAGTGGGTCTATTCACACTCTCACGCAGGAGAACTGAATGGAAGCATGTCGAGTGCTCAGCACGGGGGCTGCTGGCACAGAGCGGATGCTCCCAAAGCTGTCCTGCTGCAAGGCACTCAGAGGGCGGTCCTGCCACACCCGCAGGGCCCGGGACTGCCTGGGATTCCCACGGACAGACTGCAAGAGGGTCCGTCACGTGGGCAGTTTGGAAACCTCCGCGTCCAGCCCTCAGTCTCACAGCCTACAGAGTGAGGTGAGTTCCCAGCCCCGCTTCCCCCGCGCGCTCGGTCTGCCCACCCACCTTCAGTGGCCACATCCTCGATGTTGACCTTGTGCTCATGGGCCATGTACCCGAGGATGGAGAAGATGGCAAACCCCGAGACGAAGCTGGTGACGCAGTTGATGGTGCTGGTGAGCAGGGCGTCCCTGGGGGGGAAGAATCCCTGTTAGTTCAAGTCACCTGGCTCTCCCGACGCTGCTCACGGACCACTGGGCCACCTATGGGATCTGCAGCTTCCGACGCCTCCAGTGGCCTTGCTGGCCCGTGGACCCCAGGGCCCTGCCCTCATTGCGTGAGGACCTGCAGGTGCAGGGCTAGGTCAACAGCTTCTGGATGAGATACTCTGAGACCAAAGTCTGGAATCAAATTCCTGTCGGGGAACTGAGTCACCATCTCCTTCAGCTGACTTCCCACGCTCCCCAGTGTCTCCCCATTTCTCACCCAGGCACCCGGGAGCTAAGATGAGCCAACCTTTCTTGCAGGCTTATGTTCCATGAGCCCCTGAGACACATTCTTCAGACAAGTCGACCACTCAACTTGCTGGCCCACAAGCTATCACCTCCCTGGCTTTGCTTGGGAGGGGATGGCATCCCCTTCATGCATGCCACCCATCCCGTGTCTGCCTGTTACAGCCCTAACTGTCCTCCATGCTCTCGCTAATCCCCCGTCAGAAGGCAGATCACCCATTTCCTTAGCCTTCCTACAGCCTGCCCCCCGGGCACCCAGTCATCCCACTCTGTCTAGTCCTAGAGGGGTTGTGGTTCTGTCCTCAGCCTTTGACAGAGAGCAATGGAGGCCCCATGTGTGCCCACGTGCGGACTCTGATGCCCCACCAGGCACTTAACGCTCATGCAACCAGCCTAGACATCCCACCCTTGCCTGCCTGGGCATCAGATGGACAGACAGACAGTGCTGCCTGCTCTGAAAGCCATGCAGTGTCCCTCTGTCCCAGCTCCCCATCCCAGCACTAGTGGCTTCCGCTTTCTCCTCCTCTCCCCCAGCATCTGCTTCATCAGAGGTGCCCATTGGCCATGTCGGCGCTCAGGAACACCCAGGTGGTCATTTCACGGAGGAAGAAATCCCAGAAGAAAAGTTGACTTGTCCCAGCCCAGAGCCCCTTCTCCCATCTCTGCCACCGTCCATCCCCAGATTCAGAGCTTTCCAGAGCCGCGAGAAGGGTCTTACCTGTAGCAGTTGTTGTCAAATTTGTTGTAACTGGCGAATGCAATCAAGACTCCAAATCCAGCCCCCAGGGAAAAAAATATCTGAGTGGCAGCATCAATCCATACCTGAGACGAGCAGACAAAAGCCATCACCCGCTGCTTCCGCGAGGTGGGGACCCTCTCCCTGCCCCCGAAGGGCAGGGACACCCCAGGATGCTCTGAGACCTCGGGAAATGAGGTCCGAATGGTGATGGCAGCAGATCTCCGATCGGAGCTGGCTCAGATCTCCAGGCTTCCAGCCATGTGCTGTCATCACTCCAAAGATGGAAGAAGTAAAACCCCACCGGCCCCAGGAGTCACCCCTGTGTGGGCTGGCAGGAGCTGCCAGGAAGCATATGCCCTTTCTGAAGATGCCATCTCCATAACTCCTGAGAGGGTCCTGGCCCTTTGCCCTCACTCCATCTACACAGCCCGGAACGGCTAGTGTATTAACGTTCTTTACAATCAGGACATCAAATGAAGTTCCTCCAGAGTCAGCTTCCTCATGACCACCCAAGACCGGGAGGTGCTAGAGCAGGGGGTGGGGAACGTCCGGCCCACAGGTCGCATATGGCCCTCGAAATCATTTGGTCTGGCCCTGCCAAGGCAATTGAGGTGAGGTAATCAAGTGTTTGACTGAGTATAGCAGGCTACATTTTAAGCTGATAATTTTGTATGGTCTGCGAATGATAAACACCCAAATGGCCCTTGTGCTAGAGCAGTGGTTCTCAACCTTCTGGCCCTTTAAATACAGTTCTTCGTGTTGTGACCCAACCATAAAATTATTTTCGTTGCTACTTCATAACTGTAATGATGCTACTGTTATGAATCATAATGTAAATATCTGATATGCAGGATGGTCTTAGGTGACCCCTGTGAAAGGGTCGTTCGACCGCCAAAGGGGTCGTGACCCACAGGTTGAGAACCACTGTGCTAGAGAGATCCCGGCCTCTATGCCTGGTTATCTTGTCCAGGCTTCTGTGGGGAGGAGGGGGAGGGTCTAGGTGTCCCTGTGGCTAATCCTGCCCCTGACACGGTCATCATGGGTTGGTGGCAAAGGCTAGCGCTGGGGACTAGAGATGGAAATAGGACTGGGGTGTCTAGGTGGGTTGGGGGGCTGTGGCACAGGGTAGAGGTAACCCCCAGGACAGAGCATCATTCCCTTGACAAGAGGGGTCTACAAAGGCCCCCCAATAGAACCACAGAATCCCAGCCATCAGAGATGGGCGGGCTGGTGGAGACCTGCAGGTGCAAATCCAACCCGCACCGTCAGGTGGAGAAGCCACAGCCCAGACAGGAAGCTGGGGCCAGAGTTCCTATGGCTGCCTTCCCCAAGGAGCCTCCCCAGTCCTGGCCTCGGGCGGTGGTCCCTGTGGGTGCTCACCGTGGCCTCCTTGAGGCGGTAGAAGTCGATGTGCAGGTAGGCGCTGATGCCGTTGGAGGCGCCGGGCAGCGTGATGCCATGGACCAGGAGCACGAACAGCACCAGGTAAGGCAGCGTGGCCGTGATCCACACGACCTGCCGTGGATGGTTGAATAGACAGTTGGGTAGATGGTTAAGTGGATAGCTGGATGGTTAAGTGAGTACATGGTTGAGTGGGTAGGTAGATGAGTGAGTGGGTCAGTAATACATCAGAGGGTTAGTGAATGACTAAGTTAGTCAACGAATGCATAAAGGAATAAACAAACAAATGACTCGGAGTAATTAAGTGAATCAGTGGTTGTTTATATCTTCTGAGGGAATCAATAGAGGAATTAGGCTCCTCTGTTTCAAGTTATCCAGTTGTTCCCCCATCCCTCCCTTGCAACATGGGGGGTCTTTGCAGACACAGGCTTTAGATTTCCCCCAGGGGCGTAGGAACAAGGAGAACAAATTGCCAAAAAACAAACGAGGAGGAAAACATGCCTTAGAAAGTGAAGTCATTGCATCTGGACGGCCTCACACCAATCCTGGATTTATTCTCCCAAATTGGCCTAACTCCTCGGTGACAGGCGCAAGGAGCGCCCTCAGATATCCTCGCTGGGTCCTAACTGCTGTGTTCCCCTACAGCTCATGTCAACAGCTGCAGGTCCACTACCCAGCCCAGCCAAACACTGCTCCACCCACCAGACCACCACATCCCTAGTCTGACTCTGAGGAATCTCCCCTGGGGTCTGGAGGCAGCCCTGCACTGGCCATGCCTGAGGCTCCAACATGGATTCAGTTTCCCCAGGAACACACCAGGGCATGACTAAGCTGACCCCGCCTGCAGTCAAGCATCAAGAAGCTTTGCCCATGCACACGTGTTCCAAGTCAACGAACGGAGTCTTGTTGAAAGTTCTCAGAATCGATGGCAGGGGCGTTCTGCTGCCTAAGAGCTTGTGTTGAGGGGGAGGCTCTTGGATCCGTGGCCAATAGCTCGTTCATGCTCACGTGCGCCCTGTCTGCACGCTGGGTGAGGGGAGGGGGCCCTTGGGCTGTGTCAGCCCCACCCCAGGCTCCTCTGCTCCCAGATTTGCAACTTGCAGTGACTCTCTGGCCACGGGAAGCCAGACTTGGTCTATCTCTGAGCATGAGATGAAAAGAACAATGAGGGGCCCATTGGTTTTGGCAAGAGTCATCAGGCCCCAGGGGAAGACCCTGCTCTCTATCCCCTCAAATCCCAATTCTTCTCCACCCTTGTGTTTCTGTGGATACAGGTTAGAATTTTCATGGTTCCAGGGTGCCGAACTCAATGGCTCATCATCCCAATGAGGAAGATCTTGGCTCCATAAGAAGAGCTTTCTAACGAATAGAGCTCTCTAAGGAGGAAATGAGCTGCCCGGGAAGGGGTTGAGGTCCCTGTCATTGCAGGTGTGTAAGCCTTGCTCGGATCCAGGCATGAGGCAAAGGATCACCTAAGGCAGTGGTTGGCAAACTCATTAGTCAACAGAGCCAAATATCAACGGTACTTCTTCAAAATAGACTCGCCCAGGCCGAAAACCGACTTCTGCGCATGGGCCACGAAGTTTCAATCGCACTGTATGTGCGTCCGCACCTGGTATTTTGTGGAAGAGCCACACTCAAGGGGCCAAAGAACCGCATGTGGCTCGCGAGCCGCAGTTTGCCGACCACGTAAGGTGAGGACCCTGCACCAGCAGCAGCAACAGCACCCAGGAGCACGTCAGAAATGCAATTCCCGCCTCATCCCCACAGAATCACTCTCAGGGAGGGACTCGGGCATGTGAGTTTTAACAAGCCCTCGTGTGATTCTTATGAGCACTAAAGGTTGAGAAGCACTGCTCAAGGTCACCTCTAAGGTCTCCCCTAAGACAGAGATGATACAAGCTACAGTGTTTTGACAGGTTCAAGCCTTGGACTGATGAGAGGGCACAGTCCTCTCGTGGCCACGTGCAAGTCCCAGCTTGGAGGGCAGAGCCCACCCAGCACAATTATAGCCAACAGCTGTAGTTGTGAGCTTGAACCTATGGTCCAAACACGTGGCCCAACATGCCTGAGTGATGTGGGCTTGATAGAGTTCAGGTGCATGTAGTTGAGTAGGATTGAAACCCAGGAGAATGTTGTAAACATCTTGATCACACCCTTACTTTGCCTCGTGGCATCTGCTATAAAATAAAGACACGGCTTGTGGGCGGCGTCGCTGTCTCTCAGAGAAGCAGCGTCCCACCGAGACCCAGCTTTCATTCTCTTGTCTGTCTTTTCTAAGCCTTTCAGCCGCCCCCAGTCAGGTTCACCCCTGGCCGTGCTGGCGCGGCACAAACCTCCAGTGATTTCTCATTGGTGATCCCCTGAACTGGGGTTTAGGGACATTTGCACTAACAATGAAGACATCCTAAGATTCATGGGGTGAGGGGAACACACTGATGTTACTTAAGAAAATGCTGAGGGTGGGAAGGGTTGGTGTGGTGGGGAGTGGCGGGCTGAGAAAAAAAAAGAAAAAAAATGCTGAGCTGTAAATATTCTAGCCCATTCATCGTTCCTACGCAAATGATGCTATTCATCGTGACGGGATCCCAGGGTCACTAAAGCCAGCCAGGCCAGCCTGTGCGGACAAATTAGTGAGAAGACTTGGCTAGGATTACGACTTGAAGTCAAATGTTAACAAAAGGGATCTTTCCTTTAAAGACCCTAGAACTCAGGATTGCTTTGAATTGGTCCGGCTTTCTCTCTCCCTGACCCCATAACTTTGCCAGAAGTGGAGAGGGTGTTCTGTCTTTTCCCATCCCTCAAAGTGCCCCTGCCGGCGTGGCTATCAGTGGTTGAGCGTTGAACTATGAACCAGGAGGTCACGGCTCAATTCCCGGCCAGGGCACATGTCCAGGTTGTGGGCTCGATCCCCAGTAGGGGGCGTGCAGGAGGCAGCCAATCCATGATTCTCTCTCATCATTGATGTTTCTTTCTCTCTCTCCCTCTCCCTTCCTCTCTGAAATCAATAAAAAATATATAATATTTTAAAATTAATATATATTAAAAAAACACACACTGAGCACTGGCAAGGGGACTGATGACAGGGACAAAGAGGGACAAGGATCACTTATTGAGCAGCTTCCATCTGCCAGCCCTGCACTGGGGACCCCTCACTCCATCTTCCCAACCGCCCCAGAGGCCGGCACGATCAATACTTTGCAGCTGGAGACACTAAAGCCGAGGGAGCATCACTCACCCTGAGGTCACCCGGGAGAAGTGATAGCACCTGGACTCCAGCCCAGGCGGTCTGACCACCAGGCCACGTGCTCAATCACTCACTCAGCTGTAACTTGGATATTCAGGTTCAATTCCTGGCCCTGCTAAGGATCACTCTGAACCCCCATCCCTCTCTCGGCCCCCATTTCCCCATTTCTACAAGCAGATGGGCGCAGATGGCCCCTAAGTATCTTCCAGGTCCACATTTGGTGCCGGCTTCCTAGGCTTGTGGCTGCTAAGAGCCAGGTCAGCCAAGGGCTGTGAGATAGGGAGGCAGGCAGGACCCCGGATGGCCAGCCCGGCTCCCTAGGGGCTACCTCCTGACTCAGACCTCCACCCTCTGCCATGAGGTGGTCCATAGGTCAAGGTCACCGAGTGTGTGGTCTGGGGGAACCTCTTTTCCTGGATCAGAGTGCACCCTCCCCGCACCGTCCCACATGCAGGCAATGGAGCACACATCTTCCCAGGCACGGAGCTTGCACGTGCCAAGGCAGGAAGTGTGAACATGTGCAATTCATTTCGGGCTGCTCTGTGCTGTGGGGCAGCTACGGAAAGCTCCGTTCCAGAAGCAATCTGGAAGGAATAAGCAACGCTCGCTCTTGTTTGTCTCCGGAGCCAGAGGTTTATGAAAACAATTAGAGACAAGGCACAGGAAATGTCCTATGTGAAGTCCCTCCCCACAGGCTGGGGCCCTGACGCAAATGGGGACTGTGGCTTCTGTTGACGTGTTTCCACGTGGGGGGCTTCGCGGGAGCCCCACCCCTCGTGACTCCCACTGGGGTGATGACTCCTCCGGAGGCCCCTTTGCACAGAGGGACCGAGCACGCTCAGCTCCTCCTCCCTTCAGCATCACTCTCCCTGCAGACAACTCACGCTCAGCCCTGGCCAAGTGCTAAACTGGGTGGGGCAGGCTCTACCCCTCCGGCATGGCTGGAGGGACCTTAATCTACGGGGGTGCAGCATTAGAAGCCTGGGGTGCCGCCCCCCCGCCCAGGCCAGCGGCAATAGTGAGGCTCCTACACCTTCAGCTCTTCCACCTGCGGAGGCCAGGACAGCCCTTCCCCTGCTGCCCAGGAAAGGCACCGAGAGGCCGGACAAGGCCGGCCTGGACCTCCGCACCTCTGACTTTGCTCAGGCTGTTCCACCCATTGAAAACCCCTTCCCTCTACCAGGTCTCCACCTACACCTGTCCTTAGAGACCCAGCCCAGACGCCACCTTCCCCGGGGTCTTTGCAGACCCTCTCAGTAGAAAGAATTTCCTTCCTCCACTGATGCAGCCTCTTACATTTCTGTGACCATGAGGCCTCATGGTACGAAATACCTTCTGTGTTGAGACAAAATACACGTAGACATATAGCTGCTCTGCTAAAACACCAAGTCCGCCAGGCAGCACTTCCTTTATACTGTGTGCAATGCACTCTGTTACTAACTAGCCCAGCGGTTCTCAACCTGTGGGTCAAATGACCCTTTCACAGGGGTCGCCTAAGACCATCGGAAAACACATATATAATTACATATTGTTTTGGGGATTAATCACTATGCTTTAATTATGTTCAGTTTGTAACAATGAAAATACATCCTGCATATCAGATACTTACATTACGATTCATAACAGTAGCAAAATTACAGTTATGAAGTAGCAACGAAAATAATTTTATGGTTGGGGGTCACCACAACATGAGGAACTGTATGAAAGGGTCGCGGCATTAGGAAGGTAGAGCATTCTCTTTTACTAAAAAACTCAGAAGGGGGAATGCCTGGCTTTATAGCGAAGCCATGGCCATGTGCCAAAGCAGGAGGGAACATGTGCATGAAGCGTCAGGCCAGAATTCAAGGTCCATCAAACACAGGTCAACAGGTCGCTTTTTGTGGCCGGCGGCCAACGGGCTTGTCCCCAAGGCCCTTGGGGTGTCCTGTCCCCAAGTCCCTGAAAGAAGCTTGGGTAGAAACGTGTGGGAGCCCTGGTCTGCTTGGAGGCCTCCCACTCCTGTTGGGGAGCCGGGGCTTGGGGCAGGGAAGGGACTTGTCCGAGGTCTCCCAGGGAGATGGGCGGAGCTGAGAGCAAACCCAGGCTTTGTGCGTCCCATCCCACCTTTTCTTCTCACCGACTAACAGTTGCAGTGAGAAAAAATGAATTGTTTTGAGGCCGACTGAACGCGAAACAGAGGCGTTACCTTTCCTGACGTCTTCACGCCTTTCCAGAGGCTGAAAAACAGGACGACGACCACCACCATCAGGCAGAGCAAGAGCTGCCACTGGGGCAGGCCGATGTCGTGGATGCCGCCGCTCTCGTGGAGGTGCAGGACCCCGCGCCTGCCAGGAGGACGGGGACGGGGCCAGGGAAGATGCCATCGGTCAGGGAGGACACCCAAGGCCTGGGCCCCAGGCCAGCCCGAAGGTGCACAGTGAGGGAGACGGGCCCTGGGCCGCCTGGCCACAGCCCCGCACCATCAGGGACTGTTCTGTCCATCCCAGCCTGTGCCCAGGACTGCCCTATGGGACCAGCAAGTCACGTGGGAGACTGCCCATCGGTATCTAGTGGGCAGAGGCCAGGGATGCTGCTACACACCCAACGTGCCCAGCACGGTCCTCCCCACCGCCCCCAACATAAAATGATGCAGCCCCAAATGTCAAAAGTCTCGAGTTTGCGAAATCCTCGTCTGCAGCACAAAAACGTCAGCCTTTCAGAATCTGAGGCCTTTCCCAGTGGGCCCGGGTCCAGGGCAGCCCCTCCCTCACCACACCCTGCCTGTGGCTCCTGGCAGTGGCCAGCCAGTTGTCATCCCCTAATCACATTAGGCGCTCAGCGCTTTGGGCCAGAACACGCTTCCCAGCCCAATTTGTCTGCTTGGCAAACTTCTCATCCTGCTGGTCTCAACTCAAAATGATGCCCTGACTTAGGCCCCTTTCCTATGGAGAGAGAGAGAGAGAGAGAAAGAGGGGGAGGGGGGGATACAAAAAGGGGAGGATGGTAGACACTGAACGTATCTAAAATGACAGACCCAGAATCAGCAGCTGGACCCATCTGACTTCATTCTGCTTCGAATTGCTCTATGGGCTAAGTGTTGAATGCCTCTAGCCTCCCATCAGGTGGCAGAAATGCCCCCTGCCAGGCCCCTGGGATAAAAGGCTAGACTCCGAGCTGATTCCCCAGGGAAGGAATGCAAACCCACCCCCAGCTCCCCGCTCCCCAGCAGGCCCAGGCCTGGGGGGCTGTTAGCACATGTTGCTTGGGTTTGTTGCCTTTTTTCCAGAAAGTTAATGAAAGTGAATCGGGAAGTACGCGGTCCAGGCTTTCCACAGTCTGCAGGCCAAATGGGCTTCGTTTCTCACTTGACATTTAAGCGTGGGTGTTGGTGGGTGGTAGGGCGGAGGGGGCGTCTCCCCCCCGCTCCCCAGGATCAGGCAGGGGGAGAGTTCTCGGTTGCCCGGCGTGCTCCCCAAGGGCGCCCTCTGACAGAGGAAGGTCTGAGCCTCAGGGTTGCTTTTAGCTGCCGGCTGTCTGGCTGCGGGCGCGGAGCCTGCAGAGAATAGCGGTTTTGTTTCCTTGGATGATCGGTGCAATCCCTCAGCTTCAATGAGCACAGGATGGCAACAGCGCGGGCCAGCAGGCGCTGAGGAAAGAGCAGCCACTAACCTCCTCAGGGTTGGCACTCCGAGTCCTGCTTGCTGGTCCCCAGACGGAGCTGGGATGACTTTTAAAGCAGAAACATCTGGCTAACAGGGCCATGTGCCATTAAAAAAAAAATGCAGAGGCAGCCGTGGCTTGGTGACTTGGGAGCTCACGAAAGGAGGCTCCAGGTGAGAGAGGGAGGCGCGGGATGGAGTCCTGTCACCCCACAGGGTCCTGCACACCTGCCCCCAATACACCCCGACGACAGGATGAGGAGGGCAGGAGGGAGGCCCGTGCACGGGGTGAGGGCCTTGACTCAGACGACCTGGGTTCTGGTCCCAGCTCTGCCTCTTACCTAAAAACTGGGCCTCCACATTCTTATCTGTGAAACGGGAATAACCACCACCAACATGAACTGCGAAGACTCAATGGGCCTTGGATGGGAAGGGATGCTTGGTGCCTGGCTCATGGTAGCTATGAAGCTTGGGGGCGGGGGCTTAACAAGAGAGGGGAGCGGAGGGGAGGGGAGGGAAGGGGAAGTCTGCAGAGCAGAAAGCTGCTAAAATAGCCTTAGATTCTGCTTCCACTCAGCCCCGCGCTGACGGGTGTCATCTTTTTCCGCTACATTCTGCTCACAGCTGGCCTGGGGGACGTGTACGGGGACTGTCTCCCCACCCCCACTCCCCTGCACCAGAACCCAAGCTCCTCCCACTGCCTTGTCCAGGGCTGTACCCTCAGCTCCTAGCCCAGGGCAGTGCCCATCACAAAGGATGACCAGCGTGCCCCCCTCCCCCTGTGGTTTTCCTGAGCGTTTGGCTCCGGTCTTGCCCAGCACAGGGGACAGGACACGGGTGGAGGACTCACTCGTAAAACTCTGCGGCCGGCGTGAACTTGTACTTGGAGTACTTGGTGTGGTTGCCCAGCATGGAGGCATTGAGGAGCTTGGGGTCGGTGCAGTTGGGGCTGTTCCAGGGGTGGCCGCAGTCGGTCCAGGGCAGGTGGAAGGTGAACGAGGAGAAGAGGTAGTAGAGGGACCAGGCGATGATGACGTTGTAGTAGAAGCCGACATAGAGGGCGATGAGGATCACGGCGTAGCCGACTCCTGGGTGGGGGGGCAGAGGGGCTCAGCAGGGTTCCCCCAGGCTCGGCCCAGAGCCAGCTTTCCTGGGGGGCCGACTCCAACCACTGCACCACCCGACCCACACCTTTCTTTTCTGTCGCATTGTCACAGCCCCATCTGTATCTCCTAGGCACCCACCACCCCTTTGCCCGAGGGCTCTCTCTGGCCCATGGAGTCCCCTAGGCCCACACATTGGGCAGGCCAGGTGTGCCAGGACCTTAATGTCCCCACTGGAGCCTAAGTGCCCCAGCTCCCTCGCCTTGGGCAGGAGAACACTGAGGCGTGGGGATGATCCCCGGGCCTGTGATGGGGCTGGCTTGTTGCCTACCTCCCCTTCCCTCTCCCCTAGTGGGGTTTCCTGGGATCACCTCCCCAAATAACTCCTTACATGGAAGCCCTTGTCTCAGGACTTGCTTCTGGGGACCCACAAACCAACCCTCGCTGGTCAGAACTTCAGCCCCTGTGTTCTCGGGGTCCTGTTTGCAAGTGCCTGCGTGATGTGCCAACCTCATCTTCCTGAACGTATCAGGAGCTCCTACAGGGCTAGTTCTATGGCCCTTGTCCCCTGTAGACGTGTTTTTTGCCTGCTCAGCAAGGTTTAAGAGAGAAGCCGTAAGTAGCTGTAGGCATATGACTCAGGCCTGGCCAATCAGAGCTCTGCTTCCCCACAGCCACAGTGATTGGCTGATAGGTGAGCACATGACTCACGTCAAGCCAATGAGAGTCCTTTCTGGGACCTTGACTAAAGCTATGATTTTATAAGGATGTTTTTGTTTTATTTTGTCACTGTTCAACTTGGTGGCATTTAATCTTGTTGCTGATGGCCAGCTTCGCCCGTGTTTACGGAGAGTGTGCCTGAGAGTGATGCTAACGCTGATGAAAAAGACTTGAGAAGGAACGGGAGAGACTCCAGATAAATTATTCAAGAACCTGGATCAAGCTGTACCTGAAGCTAGCCAGAAATTCCTGGACTTTACCATATCATCAGCCAATACATTCTCTTTTACAGTCGAGCCACTTGGAGTGGGGTTTCTGGAAAGAAGAGAATAGTTCCTAATGAATACACTCATGTCTTGTAAGCGTCTTGTGCCAGCCTGTGTCACCTACAGTTCAGAGCACACAGGAGGCACTCAGAGACACACGGCAACGGAGAAGAGGCTCAGAGGAGTCACACTGGTGCCTGGTGCCCCTGGGCCCAGCTCCCTCAGTTGTGCATGGGAGACACTGATTCTTACTCCACCTCCTTCTCACAGCGTCAGAGGGGCCATGAAATGGCAGTTGCTGTGGCCGCTTCCTCCAGATGTGCCCTAAGTCCCAGAGGCAAGCGGGCTTCCTCTTCTATCCCAGCTGCGATCCACTCGTTGTGGCTGTTGTGGTAAGGACTGCGAGGCAGCTTGCTGGCTGAGCCCGGAAGGATCTGTGATCAGTGTACCCATTTACCAGGGGAGGGAGAGTAGCGAGCGGTGGTACGTGTGCTGGGTACCTCTGACACGTCTGCATTTCCTGAAAGAGGCACCCTCCTCTCGTCACTCGGCTGGATTGGGAAGTCGGGTTTGCAGACGCTCTAGGCCAGGGGTGGGCAACCCCTGGCACGCGTGCCAAACATGGCACGCCAGTAACTTTTGCTGGCACCCGAAACCCTCTCTTACAATCTTCCATTTACAGTTGTGAATCTTTGTTCTCAGTGATGAATTTTGTTAAGTCTC